ATATCAATTTGTTTCAATGAATAAGATGTGGTTTTCTTGTTCTGATTTTAACGAAAATTTCACAAATTTTTGAGATTAAGGTCTGTCATTATAGTGAATTTACAAGTTTAGATCCTGGGCAATGAAGATGCTTCAAGATGTACCTACATCCAGAGTTTAGATTTCAGAGTGGTACACATTCATTGTTTACATGATTACTGAACAAGCTACCCTTTGAAAAGAGAAACGGAACTGATGGTGAAAGTTTTCGCACTTCTAAAGGCTATCTTCTATATTTTTTTCGCGGTTTCCGGGTCCTTTTTGGGCTTCATTTGAGTTGCTCCGCGTTATTTTTTTCTCTTCTGCCGTTTTGTACAATCCTGCTGAAAACTCAGAGCACGGAACTAAGGAGCTCCTATATGCTGTTTTACGTGGTCAAGCCCTCCATATGAGTGTCAAATGGCTACTTCATGCCACCAAATTTCCTCAGGAATAATTTGACAGTTTGAAGACAGTAAGCTCATAAAGAAATTATGCCCTCCCATCAATAACTTAGGAAAATCACGGAAATCCATCATGTGAAACTCCAGAAATATCCCTCGCCAGAACGGATTCTTTGCTTGAAACACCTCTCTCTTCATTTATTGATTTTTTTTGTCCTTTTGTATACAAAATCATACATTCATCGGAATTATTCTAGCAGCGACTACCACCCCCATTACCGAAAAAAGTATATTAACTGAGCAATGCTTTTTCGGTCTCTACGTAAAAAGTTTGTAAATTATACATAATTAATTTCGCCATTGACCACAATTTCGATAAGTTCTAAGAATTGTTGTTATAGATTTAAAGCGCAAAGAAATTGTTCGATAAAACGATAAAAATGGTGAAATAGTTTTTTAAGTAAAAAGAAATCTGAAAATCAGCGTTCAAAAAAGCAACACTAGGATTTCCCTAATGTGTATATTTTAGCAGATTTTTGAAGGTTGGCGCTTTTCTTTTTGTTTTCTATAAGTTTTGCAACGCACTTTTGTTGTAAAATATTATAACAGGCCCGATTTTAATTCATACTGGGGACAATCTAATGTGAAGATATCCTCAAATGTATCTATGAGACATCTACAACGTAGGATGCAAAGACGTATACGCAAATTATAAATGTTTCCGAGAAACATGGCAGTGTTGTTTGCCACTTAATAACTACGTACTGCTTTGAATTATGATCGAAATAGTACGATAATGAATGCGGCTTGCTCCTTTTTGTCGGTCCTGTTTTCGTCTTTGAGCGCCGGAGGGATCGTTGAATGGTATTGTTCACGAGTGACCTCATTCGAAAGCTCTCACCCCGTTTTGACCATCGGTCGTTGTTGGGGCCTCGCTGATTATTCAAATGGGCTAAAATGAATGCCTAGAAGCTTCTAGTCTAGGGGTTGGCACACATCCTCCTTTTTCGCAAAAATTATCACGGATGTGTCAGAGCGATTCATGAGATAGTTCTTATCATGCTATACGAGTCTGTCACGAATAAAACTATTTTGTTGGCATGAAGTTAACTGACTCGTAGATTGAGTCAAATGAGATTAAAAATAAAACGCAATTAATGCAATCGGACTATAAATTTGATGAAATGAAATTGATACGATGAAAGGGACTACTATTTTTGGATCATTTTAGAGACATAACACAATTATATGCTATCAGTTTTTACATGCTAATAGGTGCTAAAGCCAGAAACGGTGGTTCCTCAATGCAACGTTTATTCTAAAGAGCGGTTGAAAAGGATCATTCAGAGTCAATTTGAGAAAAGAAATCGTAAAATGTCGTGCATCATGGCACAGTGTCAAAATTTATCGGACTGTCCGGTTAGTACAATTGATTGCACTATCCAGTTAACACAATCGATCGTACTCTTGTCCACGCGACCAAACTTTTAGACCAATCCGAACTGGAACAATAGTTAAGTAGCATGGTTCAAACTATAAAAAGAAGCACGTTGATATAGACCGAATGGTAGACAAAGGCTATCTCAAGAACTGAAAATGCGTCCAGCTAAATTTGATACGGGTAAATGGACTGAATAGTATGGACCATATGAAACACCAAGCTTTGGTGGATATGACGGAACTTTTTTTCCCTGTACCTGATGAGATACCTTCAAAGAATGGCGGAAGCAATTTTTTCCATTGAATGAAAAATATTTGAATCGAAAAGACCTGGAGTAACATATTCCATTAGTGGATTGCGACTGAAGGGTTAAACTGATACAAGTGTCTGAAGTGAAGCACGTAACAACGTATCGGCTGAAGTGCAGAGTCGACGCCTCCCATAATAATTCACCCGGTTTCTATTGGTTCTTGTGGCAAAAAAAAAAAAAACGAAATTCCTCGTGGAAATGGCAAATCTATCGCTCTTTTAACGTGACTTGTCATGACAACAATGAAAGCGACGCAGTGCAGTCGGAATCAATCGACCATCACATTTCAAACCTCAACTCTGTCACGCAGTTGTCACCTTCATTAAACGCGTCTTTCACACGAAGTACACGCCGGCAAAGTACATTTCAATAAGTAGTATTTTCTCTTTGCAAAATCAGCTCATCGGCGATTTTGCACATTGGCATTACTGTACTTTCCTACAATTAAATCCATTAAAGAATCAATTTTAGGTGAGGAAAGCTGCCTCGCAAAGAATCGATTGTTTTATATACATTTACCTGTAGGAAAAACGGTGGTTCCGATTTTCAAGAATCGCCTCTGAATCAGCATAAAGTATAAACTTGTCGTACAGGGAGAAGTGATGTGAAAGGAGGTCCATTTATTCTTTAAATATTAACGAAAAGTAAATTTCACACCTTTTTGAAAGTTAGAACTTTAAAACCTGGCATATACCATGAGCTTTTGCTCGATTAAGCGCGCTCGTTTCGTGAGTTTTTTATGGGAAAATTGTCTCAAAATTGTATTCTTATTAAGAAGACTCGGACTATTTCTGCTAAACGGAACCAGAGACAGGTGGGGAAGAGGGGGTGCGCTCGTTAGTTGAAGGCGGTAAGAATGAATGGGAACTATAAGCGCCATTGACGTCAGCGGCAACGATGCTGCTGCCATTGTCGCTCCTGGTCCACATCAATTCATGAGCCCTGTCTACAACGCTCTTATCACATTCCCACGGATTATGAATGCCGCATGCTATTGACGCTTAGTTCCATTTGATAGAATGTAAAATCCCGCTTTTCCATTTCCCATGGGGATTCATGCCCACTTTTACATTGTTTCTTATCCACTTTTCTAGAGCATTCATCATTCCCACTCGTCTATAGTTCCGTCCAGTAGAAATATATCCAATGGTCTTTCTCAAGGCTCTAGATTTCCATTAATCAAGGAAAACAATTGCATGATCTTAGCAACGCCTTTATGGCGCGTGCCAAGTTGCAAAATATATTTGATTCCTATGCATTTAACTTGCGTTTGAAGGATTAAAATATATTTTCGTTGTAAATGAACCGAAATTACTATTACTTTGTTTTAAGACGAGGCAATTAGAGATATTAAGTACCCGTCTCATAGAACTTTATCTAGTTTTAATGTAATGTAATTTTGCATTCTGTTGTAGGTTGCTGTGAGGATCCGCCCCTTAGCTTCATCCGATGGAGAACGCTGTTTGCACTGTTTGAATGACAAGGTAAGAATGACGTATTTTCTTGCAGTAGAATCATACTCTTATTGCGTGTGTCCACACCGCATCATGAACATCAAGGGTGATTGTTCATGGAGAATGAGGTTTCAACCAACTAAAACTCGAATTTGAGTCATTGATGCCGTGTCATTTGAAATCGTTTCACGAATACTTAAGGACAAATGAAATATTTCCAGTTTCAAATAAAACCCGGAATTTTGGTGCTTAAAAGTTTCTATACTTCAAAACATGTAGTTTCCTAGAATAATCATTGGTATAAAAATCCAATCAACCATTACAGAGCACGAAATTGCCGGTCCTAATGGTATTTACGCCTTTTTCTGTACAAGAATGAACTAAATCACTCACAAATGAACCACATTTTGCAATTAGAAACCACAATTTCTGGCTCAATTTAGGAAATTCATAAATGCTATTGTTTTCCCATGCAGAGAGGTGCTTTGATGGAAGAGTCAGAGATAGTGGTTCCATATTGAAAAATGCAATCCAAATTATATCAATCGGAAACTCAAAATCCGATCTCCTAACACGGGAAAAAATCGGATAGTCGTCACAACCAGCGGCTGGGTGTGACGACTATTTTTTTCCGTGTAACCCAACTCGGGGAAAATTGTTTACTACTTTTGCCTTCATAGACCAAGGTCCTTTCCCGTGGACGGGCAAAAATAGAGTATGAAAATTATCAACAGAGGGTATTCAGAAAATCTCGCCTGGAATATCAAACCTTGACCACAGACCATCCCTCCCACCAGATTTGATCTGACACACATTCTCACCCGGGACTGGCTACCTTATATCGACGAGTCAGATCAGGGTGCGAGCAAACACCTCTCGATCCATCTGCCAAACTTTCCAACTTCCGCTTTCTACACGCGACCCACTCACATGATTCCAGATCGACCGCGGCAATGGTTTTTCACTAGGTAATCGAGATTTTAATCGGAAATCACAAGTTACATGTCAATTGTCGCAACAGTCACACACGAGGGTGCGAGAATCGCGCGCGAACATTTCAACCTGCGTTTCAACAAGAGAGTTGTTATGTGTATCACTTAAAAGCACCTGCAATTAACTGTTATAGTTCTTTTGCGAAAACGGAATGTCCTTGTTGGACATAAGTTGGCTGATTTCCTCTACTATTCAACCTGTTTAACCTAGTTCCCGTATGAAGCGAAAAGATCGTAAATTAAAGTTGAACGAATGTTCCTTGAAACGAGTATGAAAAAGATACACTTTTGCTCATTAAACAAGAACGAGTTACGTAATAATACCATGCGTATGGATAAATGAATACACAGTAAATAATTGAATAAATTCCATCAAAAGAATGTTTTTGCAAAAAATGAAGTATGTTTATTGATTTTAGATTGTTAGACACGTTAAATATACAAAACACGTTGAATAAACACATCAAAACATTACTTGTTTCAATCTTCAACACAATTGCTAAGTTTGTACATAGTACATACAGTCTGACGAGACACAGTCGCTACTATTAGTCTGTTATGATTAAAATCCGGTGCGATACCCTTCTTTCTCCCTTTATTCTTTCACAAATAACTTGTAAATATCTGTAAGGATGACGTGTATCGAGGGATCTTCACTACCCTAGAAGGAAATAAGAAGAATAAACATATTATTCTTGTAAGTCAGCCTATCATGTAACTGGAGTAATCTTCAAACATCGTTTCTCCGGACGAAATCTTTTCATGTAGGGTTTAAAATACGAAAAGTAATGGAAGTAAGAAAATTTTCTGAACGATTGCATATGACCGCATTAAGTTTAAACGATTGAGGAGTTTTAGTATAGTTTGGGTGAAAACTCTTTGAAAGAATGAAACAGTAGTCCTCGTGTTCAATATTTGAGGTGATTCGCGTGTCTGTGAATAGTTTCTCTACGAGTTCTTTCAAAAAAATCTAAGGATGTGCTCTACCTATTGAGCGAGATTTGGAACGAAGCCAACAGCTCAGTTTTCCAAATCACATTTTGTGACATTTAAAATGCACCAAAGTGCTTTTGGATTTCCTCAAATGAAAATAGTCTGCTTATTTGCCGAGAATTTTGTTGTTATTGGTTTGAAATGCTCTTAAATGGATCGTATTCGCTACATCAAACTGGTGAGATTGTATCCATATCGATTGGTTCGAAATATAAAAATAGCCTCAATAGTCAATTGAGTAATCTGAAGGAACGGGTACCTAGTGACAGAATTTTTTATTCTTACGAGTAATATAAAATAGCAATAAAAAGAGAAATTGTTAGGATTTTTTTAATTTTCAGCGTTTCCTACTTAAAGGAAGATCCTGAATCCTGAAAGATTTGTTCGAGGTTATGCAGTATTGTTTGGAATTAAACGATGAATGGAACCACTATCGAATATTGGAACATAGTGATGAGAATCACTGTAACACAAGTTAAGATTGGATAGGTTTGAATGTGAATAACCACAAAGCCAAGGTGTTATTTTGAGAATACTATTTTATTAAATAATTGCCGAAGCTTTTCGACCCTTATGGTCATTATCAAGGCAAAACTACAAAAAGCGAAAATCATAGGCAAGGCAAAACTACTGGCAGTAAGCTACTAAAACTACAAGCGCACAGGAAGTTAAAAAATTAAAAATCAATTATGCACTCTCTCTTGCTGACTTACTATTTTTAATTATGTTTTTTAAATTTTTAACTTCCTGTGCGCTTGTAGTTTTAGTAGCTTACTGCCGTAGTTTTGCCTTGCCTATGACTTTCGCTTTTTGTAGTTTTGCCTTGATAATGACCATAAGGGTTGAAAAGCTTCGGCAATTATTTATTATTATTATTATTATTATTTATTATTCTCAAAATAACACCTTGGCTTTGTGGTTTTTCACATTCAAAGCTATACTATCGAATAGGATCTGTTTGTTGGATCGAGAGGGATATAAAAATAGCGTACCTTATTCGAATCTATCTTGGAAAATGAAGTTATTGTCGATCATGTGTTTGACGACGCCAACGAGAAGCTCAGTAGCTTTGGTGCCTCCCGTTTCCAGTAAGTTGGGCATGTGCTCCATCATGATCTTGAGCTTCTGCTCATCGTCCAATTCCTCCCAGCCCGGAGGCGGCATCACTTCCACGCCTTGCATATGGCTGATGAACATGGGCGCCATCACCGCAACGACACGGAACCCGTAGACGCCTCTCTCTCGCAAGTCTTGCTCCAACGTCGTCAGTGATGGTGGCTTAGCATCGCCGGTGATTGGTGAACACAGAGCATCTACAAGCAAGAGCAATGAAATGCATTGAAATCTCTTAAATAATTTGCAGTTTAGACGATAATTGTTTGGGCTGGGGGTGAATAAATGGACGTATTTCTGTCGAACATAAGTATGTGCGAGTTGGAAAGATGGGATGTGCTCGTTAGTCGAGTACGTAAGAATGAATGGGAATTATGAGGAACCAGTGACGTCAGCGGCGACTATGGAGTCGCAGAACGACGATCCAAGGCATTAACTCTTGAGCCCTATCCACAACGCTCTGAACACATGTCCACGGCTCATGAGTCGGTCCATAGTTCCGTTTGGCCGAATGTGCGCGGGACTCATAAGCCGTGGGCATGTGTCTGGAGCGTTGTGGACAGGGCTCACCAGTTAATCCCTCCGCTGAGGAGATACATTATTTTTAAAAAGGCTCCATGTAGATTTAACTGATTTCCCGCTATCTAATTGGATTCCACAAATCTCAAGTCTCTCATAGACGGAATCTGTTGGAAAGCTACCGTAGTATCTACGGAGGAAGTTGGTCCATTGCGCCTTCCTGATGTCTGCCGGGACGTTGATGAAGAGGAACACACTGGTGTCGATGGCGGGCGAGCAGAGCCGGATGGTAGCGAAATCGAAGAGAGCAGCTTGCACAGGCTCTCCATTGGAATCGTATTTGAAGAGCACGTTGCTTCGGTGGAAGTCTCCGTGAGCTATGACGTTCACCGGTCCCGAACGGTCTTGGGTGGCTTTGCCGAGCCACTTGAAACTGGCGTTGTCGCAGTGCGCCAGCAGATCCGCCAGCTTGTCCTGGTACGCTCCATCATTTTTCAGAGGTTCGATGCCGCGGAGAAGGGCTGCCAGGTTTACCTGAAACGCAAAATCCGTCGGTAAAAAAATTCAGTTTTTCGGCTGTGCAATGATTCATCATTGGGCGGAGGGAAAAGGGAAGGTGGTTGTCCAAAACTTTTGTTCCCCTTCGTCTGACAGCTTCGGCTATTACGTATACCCACCTTAGTAAAAGTGAGCCAGCCATTCCATCAGACCATGTTTCATAAACCACCCTGAGTCAGACTGATTCAGGCTGACTCAGTCTGACTCAGGGTAGTTTATGAAACATAGTCTGACGTCAGAGTGACTCACCTTTACTAGGGCATGGCTTTGTCTCTCCAATTTGAGAGAGAAAAAAAAGGAAGGAAGAAGAATAAGAATAAGAGGAAAGAAGGGGGAAGAAAATAGAGCACGAAAGAAAAAGAATGAGTTTAAGACAAAGAAAAAGAGGCAGAGAAAACGAAGAAAAAATTATTATCTTTCCTCTTTTTTTCTCCTTTCTCTTCTCATATTTCCTCCTAGAATTTTTTTCCTCTTAAATATTTTTATCCATTTTTCAAATTCCTCTTGCACGCTTTCCGTCTTTTCATTATCCTATTCTTTCTTCCTCTTTGACTCTTCCATATTTTACTAGATATGGAGCGAAATTAGTATATAATTTATTGTGTACTCAAGTAATTTGGACATATTTTCTTCTGTACTCGGATAATTTTCACAATTGTGTGAAGGGTCAAATATTGTTCCTACAAAAATGGTTGGGAATTCTCCAGTTAGTAAGATTGCTTTAAGTTAGGTGGGAAGGGAAGTGTGTCAAAAATACGACCACTCTCCCACGCGAGACTTTGCTTAGTCAGGTGCCCCTTGATTCCCAACCCTCACTCCTGACTTGAAATATTGTAATTTCCTAGTTCACGATAGGCTTCTGGATCTTCAAAGGAGAGTAAAAACGTTCATCCCCTCCTTATTTTGGGTGCACTGGAACCTGAAAACGAATTCCCGCTGATCGGCCTGTTTTCCTCCATTGAAACAAATATATTATTTTCCGAAATTCCGATCACTTAAAACCCCATCTGAAAATGTTTCAAACTGACCTAATTTCAGGTGATTGCTTATTTTCATGGATAGCACTGATTGCCACCCTAAAAGAGTCAAATTTCAAATGAGGGGCTTGGAGGACAAGGCGCATAAGTGCAGTTTTGGAAAAAAATTGAGATCTTCATGAATTCGACCAAAACTATAGTTTGTAAGTATATTCTGTGAAAAATTCACAACTAAAATCCAATTTAAAGCATCCAAAAGTGAAAACTTTAAACATGTATTTCTTAAAGTAGCAAAACCTGCACCTATACGCCTCGTTCTCCAATCCCATTTAAATATGAGCGAAATGAGTTACATTCCACGTAAAACAGATCCACAATCCATGGATATAGTTCAGTTATACATATGTGCTTCAGCTTGAAGGAACCAAGGGCTGCTCTTGATTCAATTTTTTCAACGTACCTCTTTAGGAAACATGACGTCGGCAATCCCCGACACGAATGTTGGTTTGATTTGGGATGTTAACTCCTTGAATTTTTCCGGATTATCCGACTGAGCTTTCAATGTTAGTCCATGGTACTTCCCGATGGCGTCCAATACAAGTTCGACGTGTTTTTGATTCAAGTAAAGTCGATCGGCAGACAGCTTGAAACCTTTTGGTGTTAAATCCTTCATAATAATAATATTATCCTCTGGGTTTTCACCCGGGCTCGCCGTGCCGTACACGAACTCAGGAAAACTTGTTGATATGAAGTCATCTGTGTCGTAGTTCTTCAGGAAAGGGAGAACTTCCTTGTAGAATAAATTCTCATTATGGAACAAAGCATATGAGTCCAGCATGCCTTTGACTTCTGGCCTGAAATTTCGCAGAAACGTATCTTTAGTAATGATGTATTCGCGTATCTGCTAAAAGAATAGATGACCGTATGTACGAGTAAATTGTTGGCCCTAAAATTTACGACGCCTCAAAATGTTTTATACGTTGCAAATTTAACATTTGATTATCATTATTTTTAGGCTCAGTTTCAGTGTTAAAATTTTGTCGTATGATGAACGATGAATTTGAGCTCTAAATTTGGGTCTCCTCGTTTCATCATGGTGCGAAACGAAACACCCCTGTTAACATGTGGTAATAATAATTTATTGAGAGTGTCTATAACTAGATTTTTTCCGAAGTCGATTATAATTTTTGCAAGCCATAATTCTCAGTATTTCCAGATTCTTTCTCTCATTGTCGTGCCATCCCGTCTCCTTATAATTACGACAAGGAGTAAAGCATGCCCTTAAATTATATACTCGATTAGGTCCAAGCCAACAGCATCCGGTCAGTAACAATAAATACTCGAAGGCCGTTACAATTGGACCGAGTTTAGCAGAAAGGAACCAAGCCACATCAGCTATTGCCAAAAACTGGGCAATTTAATTTTTTACAAAAGAACGTTTGTGCGGATTCCTTTGAAAATTGTAAGGACTTTGCTTCGTACTATGCAGAAAATTCACTGAAATTAGAGCACAAATCAGCACAATCGTTTTCATGTAAAAAGTTATAGTGCCCAGCTAAATTTTGCGATAGCGGATGTGGCTTGGTTCATTTCTGCTTAACGCGGTCCAATTGTGATTATAACGCGTACCTATGTATCAACTAAGTCCTTGTAAAGACTGATCTTAGAGTAAGCACTGATCACCTCTAAGATCAGTCTTCATGAGCACTGAGCGGACAGATAAAAACTTAGTCCGACCGAATCAGTTCTGATCAATACTGTACTTACATCAGGGGTCGTACTGTTCGGGAATTGGGGTCCGAGCAAGTCTCTTAAGGTCTTACAAGGGGGAGAGGGGTCAAACCTAGACCTACGGAGGCCTATCCTTTATAACAAAATAGCATTTTCCGACCAAAATATTATTCCGGCAATTTTTCAGGTTTTCTCAGCAATTTTTTGAAAAATAGAATGAGGGTGGGGTCATGCTAGTCATATGTAATTCAAAAGGAGCAGGGAGAAGTTGTGTAACGAACAATTTACAAGAAAATAGGGGGTCCAAAAAGTCGGTCAAAATGCCTTTTTTTAATTTGAACGGCTCCTCAAGGTTAGAATTCTCTTCCATCCTTTATTGGCCCTGATAAACAGTTTGGTCAGGCGCTGACCACACTGTTAGACGCGTTCCAAAACCAAATACTGCATTTTTCATTCTTAGCAAGAATTTTATAATGACTGATCTTATTTCCCAGGCAGTTGCATTGTAGCTACGTTTTATTTACATTCGATTTATTCAGAAATTAAGATCGTAATTTTAAGGGATGACTTAAAAAATACAGGGTGAACTTACTTATTTATTTTTATGACAACCGATACAATGATGCGGTCGCCAGTTAGTTGCTCCAATGTGACGTCACCAAAAATAACTTTTGAGCAAAACTGATCGGTGCCTTGTTTTTCATTTGCTTTGAAGCAAACGAACCTCTTGACGTCAGCTCCAAATGCTCCGGACTCCACCGAGGCGGGAAACACTTTGGAGGTCAAATGCTCTTGTATATCCATTTTTTTTTTACCTTTGAATGGGAAACATGAATTAGCAGAACCATTTATAGGGACTGAATGCAAAATTCAAAAAGTGATTAATAAGTAAGTATACAAAGCAGAAAGAACTAAAATTCAATGCGACGTGGTTAGTTTGTTGGCGGTTCTTGTCAACAATTTGAACGTCAAATTAAAATTTATGTGGCAGATACAGGGCTGTTAATGTCTCCATTCTTGCTAATATTTAAATTTTCTAGGAAAATTATTGCGTGGAAACAAAAAATTCTATTGAAATTTCTCCCAAAAAATTTACAGGGTTCTAGTCAGGTTTGAAGCAGTAAACTTTTTCATTATTTGTTATATTCATTTTTTTTTCACTCATTTCTGTGCACTTGGCTCAACATTTTCAATTTTCGAGAGGGCTTTGAGGATGGAATCATTGTTAAATGGACGTATTTTTGCCAAACAAAACTATATGTGCATTATGACGTGAGCCCTGTCATGCATAAATTTTTATGGGTCTCAGGCAGGCCCGCCACATCCCATCTCGGGCCCTGGTACCAGTTTTAAGGTCCGGGCCCCAAGCACGGAGGGGGGGGGGTCCGAGGGGCATCCCCCGAGAAATTTCATAATTTATACGACTAATCAGACGCATTTTGAAGCTTCCATAAAGAATTTTTCCATAAATTTCTGCGGAATAATTATGTTTTTTTTTTTTTAACTTTCAGCACAAAATACTTGCGAATTGTTGCATTCAAAACATCTGGAAAATTTTTATTTTTTTTGGGGGGGGGGCATATGATACTATTTTCAGTTCTATGAGGGCCAGGCCCCCCTGGACTCCCCCTTCGTTTGTCTTTGGCAAGGGAGTTGAGCCATGAGCCATTGAAGTCGAGGATTCGTGGATAGTCGATTTCCTTTGACGTTTCGCAGTGTTGAATGCATAGCTGAAGTGCGCTCCAGCTAGAATTGTATTTACAAATGGGTGGTTTTTCTACGAGGATTAAAAATAAACGAGTGGCATAGAATATAGCAAAGGAAAATGAACTATGCGAAACGATAATCCGGGTATCGGAACTTGGCTGTTTTGAAAACGCCTTCAAATGCGGCGTAATACCTCACGCATTCCGGAGAGTTAAAATAGTTGTATCATTGCGCCTTAGAAATGCGGCGGAAGATTACAATTGAAATAGCCTTCATGCACGCTGGCTTTTTCGATTTCCTTTGAGATTTTTGCAGTGATGAATGCATAGCTGAAGTGCGCTCCAGCTAGAATTGTATTTAGCAAATGGGTGGTTTTTCTACGAGGATTAAAAATAAACGAGTGGCACGGAATATAACAAAAGAATGTGAACTATGCAAAACAATAATCCGGGTATCGGAACTTGGCTGTTTTGAAAACGCCTTCAAATGCGGCGTGATACCTCACGCTTTCCGGAGAGTTCAAATAGTTGTATCATTGCGCCGTAAGAATGTGACGGAAGATTTAAATGGAAATAGCCTTCATGCTCTCAGGGATCACGTCAAATTGCATATGGTATCGTTTGGCAGAAATATGTCCAACTAAGCCTTAATATTACTAATCATGAGTCCGATTCATCTTGCATACAGAAATTCTCTTTTAAAAATGCATGATTAAAATATTTCTTGTCGGGTGAGAAATCTATATCTGTAAATCAAACCTCCTTTTTTTTACCTGGATAAATTTGGAGATACCCCAAGGCGTTATACTCTGGCGATATTGGCTGAATAAAATAAAACGCCCAATGAAATTTTGAGCCGCAAAATGCATTGAAGCTGATTCTGGTGAGATCTTGCCGAACGAAACTTGCATGTTTGTCTAGAATTTCATGAATTTTATTCACAAATGGAAACTCCTGAAATGGTTGAGCATGAGGATATCCTTCATTCACAAATTTTAGCCATAATTGGAAAAATTTTGATGGAATGATTTAATTTTTTAAAATACATGAGTTTAATAGGAAATACCGCGGCAAGAGGATAGAAAGCTGTAAATTTTTTCACTTTTGAATGTACTATTTTCAGATTTCCCATATCAGAGAAAATGTTTAAAAAATATTGGAGACTCATCGCATTATGAGCCGTATTCACTAATACTTTCTCGCGCAAATATTCAAATGTGGTGCAGCATTAGTTGCAAACCAAAGCAGACCAAATGTGTCGACTTACTTCTGTGGGGTCCACTTGAAGAAGTTCTCTCGAGTGACGAGTATGCGCTGTAATTCACTACTAAGACGGAACTGCGGCTGCATTAAACTGACGAGGCAAATCGCTTTATAAACGTTTTTGTGCAGATCAGTCGTTCAAATTATCTAATCGAAAGGTCACACTTGGCTAGAATAAAACTCTCGCGACAAAAGTGTTTCAATGCTTCGCGGGCGCTCAAGAGTAGCACGCTGTTTGGTGAGAGGCTCTTCGGTTCTTGTTCCTTTCAACCGGAAATGATGAGTGCCCTGTTTCGCAACAATTTCAGCACTCTCGCTGAAACAACAGAATCAAGTGTTTTAATAAATAAATCAGTCGAATCCATGAGTGTATAGTATACTCGCATGTAAACAAATTCTATGAGAAGAAATGGGACTCAAAAAGTCAATGAGGTGATTAGGCTTTTTGAAAAAAATTAAGTTTCCTTGAAATATTTGCTCAGTGAAATCCTGTGTGACACGAGAGAAAGTGAGAATCACAACTGAAATTCTTAATATTGTATAATTCACACTTCAATACTTGGAATTATACAGTATGAGTATTTGTGATTTTTGCCCTTGGAACAGTATATTTTCCATTACGGACAATAGAAGCAAACAAAAGAGAGTTGAAACATCTAAGCTTTTTTGGGGGGGAAGGGGGGTGCGGGAGCAATTTATTGGTTAATGCTGATCACTTTAGAGCATTTTTTGTTTGAGACTTGATAGGGGATATACAATTTTTTGAGAAAAAAGCATCATCACGAATATTTTTGCCTCCTCCTGCCCTTCTCCACTAAAAATTTGGCATATATTGATCAAATTGCTTTGTAATAGCTTTTAAAAAAAATTAAATCTCAACAACCCATACGCCGCGCCGTACTGTCGTCCATAGTAAAAACGCCGTATATCCATTCGATATTTTTTCGGATTTTTTTCTGAAAAAATACTGTTTTACAAGAAAACTAGCAAAAATCATCCTTCATTTTTTCGAGTCGATTCTGGCATGCCATTTAGAATTCAAAATTTAAAAAATGAAGCCTGGTCACATTTGGATTTTCTTGTATTGTAGCAGTACGCGTGGAAGAGAAATAATACGAAATATGTAATGGTGTTATGACCTCTTTGTTGTGGGCGGCAGCATACGTGCCAATTATCCCCCCAAATTCAGAGTACATATCGACGGTGAAACTCCCAAACCACGTATCTCGGTTTGCGACGTCGCAGACTTCCTGTCATACTTTATTTTTTAAATGAAAAACTACTTAACGTCCAGTCTTGAAAATGTCTGTGATTTTTCCTCTTCGTGCGGAGAAAATTCTGTGAAAATTTCAAGGAATGATATTGATTTGGTCTACTTCAAAAAAATAAAATGTTAGTGTAGATTTTTAAACACCGCAAACGAGATACGTGGTTTGGTAGTTTCACCGTCGATATGTGCTTTTTTAAGTAGTGCGCATCAAAAGGTACCCAGTTCTAAACAATAGTCTGCAACGCTGCAATGCATGACTGTCAAGCGTGCTTGGACCTTGTTATTACGCTTGAAGCTAAACAGGGGCCACCGGAAGAGGGAATTTCAGTTGTATTCAAATTAGAAACATGTAAGTGGGTCAGCTTTAGGAAGAGTTAGGTCAGGTTAGGCGTAAGAGTTTCATGATGAAATCAAATTAAACGTCAGATAGTTTCTATAAATCCAGCCTTTCAAAGGTGCTAGGGCGGGTCTCAAGTGTTTTGACCGGTATAATGAATCAAAGCTGATATTCCTGGTTAAGAAATAAAGCAATTTTTAGCCCTTCCGACCAATAATCTGAGATCTTTACAATCGAAGTTAATCGTTTATATTAAAGATCTTTTGAGATTATTGATTTAAGCTTTTGATTCCTCCAATTTTATGTTTAATAAAACAGTACAATTATAGACAACTATTTTACTTCAATATTAACTCGCCCGATGTCCATTTGTTTTGGCTATTTGGATCGCATTTAGCAAAAAGGAGCTATCGCAATTGTAGTGTTTTCAAAGTACTGTAACTCCTCCTTTTTTAAACAAAATACTTAATATGAGTACAGTATTAATATATACTGAAATAATTTCCTCTAAATTTTACAGTTATTTGGTGGAAAGTCAAAACTAGTTTCTGTTCTAGGAGATTTTTTAGATTATTATGAAAAAGCAACATTTTTACAACATTTTAATTGCGCTGGTTCGTTTGCTAAATGCGATTCATCTTAGGGTTGACTAGATGACACTGAATTTTTTAATTATGACTCATGTTTTCTTATCACTGCAAAGTGGTCATGTAGGAGTGCGAATTGGTAATCAAGCGTTGGGTCGCATAGGTGTAACCTGCAGGTGCTTCTTGGAACAACATGATCTTCACCTGTATCTATGATTGGTATTTAGCACTCTTTCCCCTGACTTTCTGACCAGTAAGGGAAATAGGTCAAAAAGTTTGCGAAACAAACTCATCAATATTACTTTCTTGTTGCAGAACGCACTTTGTAACACTTTGGTGGCATTATGGTATATCCTTTTTTTAAAGGTCTTTGGCCATCGTTATTAACAGGATGCGCAGAACCTATGATAGAACCATTGAATCAGCATTACAGATACTATTATACGTAGTTTTACCCGTAAGTCAAATGTACACAGTATTCCATAACTATATGATCAGCAAAATGAATATCCATTAAAGTAAATCATACAAATTAAAACCATACTCTATAATATATCATTGGTTTTGCATAAATGACGTGGTTCAGCTTACTCATGATGCGCCAGTCAACAAGGGAAAAAAAATGTCTTTATAGCCGTGCTATACTAGAATTCTGTATGAAATATTCAGGTTTTTTCAGCTGAAACTGCTTTTGCAGCAATTCTACAGTTTCTGTGGAATTTGAAAACAAATTCCACTGAATTCGTTATAAAAATTACTTCTCCCGCCTCACCGTGAAAACATGTATCGGACAAACCAATGGTACGAATACTTTTTTCTGAATTCAGCTGAAAACAGTAGTTGCCTAGTACAATGCTGTCCTTATCTAGTTTTGAGACATTCATTTTTGTATCTTGTGTAGTCACTGTAAATACAATATTTGCCATGTTGAATTGCTGGAATATTAATGAAAGTTGTTTTTTATTGTTACCAAAATCATCATATTCCCGGGCTTTTTGACTGCGTCTGAAATATTTCATATTACTGAAGAAAATATAGCTTCTGGGTTCCTTTTGCATATAATGCAAATAATTCTCTTTGTGAGAAAAGTGTGCAACTGTATCTATCAAAAAAAAAAAATTTGAAATTGCAACGGATGTAGGCACTTGAGACTAGAGAATTTACGATCACGCGAGAGAACTCAAGCTTTGACTTCTTCAATTTTTTTAAATTTTATCTATGTCCCCCACCAATCTCGTTCTTTCATAATATCAGCAAATTTAAGAGAGGATACTCGAGATAGAGTAAAGTGAGATGGTGAGGTAACGACTGAAAAGTTAAGAAGTTGAAACACGTACAGTCGCACAACTACGGCGTGGTTGGACGCAGCGACACTTCAGAGGAGCTTTTCTCGCAGTCCATAATCCAAGGAGGTAACATTTTCTCTGCGAGGTAGTGACGCGTTTGATTAATATAACTCTAAAAATTATGAGTTTCCTATTTTTTTTTTTTATTTTTTAAATAAAATAAACACAATTTACGTAGTATGATCTATGCAAATAGTCAAGATTTCGAATTTTTCTAAAAATATAATTTGTGTTTTTGATAAAAATAAGAACAAACAATGAAAGGACTTAGTAAATGGTAGAACAGATTTTTCAAACTCATCGCTTTCAGTTTTAATTGTATCACTATTTTTCCGTTTTTTTACTTGATCTAGCGTCATCTGAAAATACTTTAGAATGTGGTTTATACCTCAGGTATTGAGGATGTAACGTTACACAGCCACTGTTGATTAGGAAAAAAAAAAAAAAAA